AACTCCTTATAGAAGAGGGTTGATACCTATAATTCCTGAAAAATTTGTAAGCGTTGGAAAACTTAAAAGAAAAATATAAAGAAATTATACTAGAAATACCATTATGTAGAGTATCTATTTTAGTATTTAATAAGGTAGTTAAAAAATAAGAAGAGATAGTAAAAGCTCTATTTAATTTATAAGAATCTAGAGAGATATAAAAAGGAGTAACTAGTAATCGATACTAAGCAGCAACTTACTAGAAAGGTTATTAATAAAGAAGTTATAGGTATATTATAGTATATAGGCTATATAATACTATAGTATATAATACTTATCGATATTGTCTTAACTATACCTAGAGAGATAATTAAGAAAGAAACTAAATACTGAATTGTTATAATTAATATAGTGATTACTATTTATAATATAGAAAAGGGTGCTTCCTTATATCCTCTACTATAAAAATACTTGATTAATATAGTTAATATACCTACTACTACCCTAGTATCTAAGAGATAGATTTCTACTCTTCTAGAAAAGAGAGAGAATACTTTTTCTTAAGCTATTGCTTCTATCTATATTAAAAATAAAAAGGATAGACTAATAATCTACTTTATATATCTTAGTAATATTAGGCTATCTAAAAAGTAGTATCTAAGAAGATATAAGAACCTTAGTTCTCTTAATTAGTACTTTATTAACTAATATATTAAGTATTTCCTAAATAATATATACTATAGGTATAATATTTATAGAGAAGAACTAGAATTAAAAACAATACTCTTAAACCATGTGGAAGAAATGTATAGGACTATTATTTATTTATCTTTATTAGCTCTTAGACTATTCTTACTATAGATACTAATATTCTTTCTTCTTTTTTAGTATATTAATACTAAGTCTAGTATTCTAAGTATTCTTTTTAGAATAGTAATATTTTAGAAAGCTAGATTATAATTATATAACTAATTATAATTCTATTCTATAAATATTAATTAGACTTAATATATAAAACTAGATTTATAAATTATAGGATCTAGTTAGTTTAACTTATATAGTTTAGGTTCCTAATATCTTATTCTATAAGCTCTATCTTTTATTATACTAGTATAAAAAGCTTATCTCTTATCCTAAAGTTTCCTTCTTTTAAACTTCTTTATCTTAAAACTATTACTATATCTTTTCTTTTACTATAACCCCTATTTAATTTACTTCTTTCTATATATAATAAGATGCTTTATCTAAATATATTAATCCTGGAAAAGAAGATATTTTACTATTTAGCTATATATTAGTATACTACTAGATGATATAGGATCTTTAATAAGGGAGGAGTTTAAAATTAAATATATTCTAGATTATTAATATATTGGAAATAGAACCTGATATCTTATTAAGTAGAAAGGCTGGTTAGAAAAGATATAATTTAGGAAACCTATAATAACCTTAGTAAGACTATAGGTTAGATAAATATTAGTAATATATAGAGGATATTTAATAAAACTATAGCTCTTTTAGAAGAAGTAGTTAAATAGAGAGGAAGGCCTTTTTGTATGATTCTTTTATTTTCTTATAAATATTTTAGAAGTTCTATTAAGTAGCTATAAATTCTAGAATTAATAAGTCTTTTTATTTATTTTTAAGGTGTCTATTTGAATTTTATTGATTTGATATAGAAAATAATAATATTTATAAGTAGATATAGAGTGAAGTTAAAATATCCTATTAGTCTATCTTAGAGTAATAAAGGGGATGAGAGGACTATATGTTATATTAAAATTTTAAGTTTACTAGGTTTATTAACCTAAAATTAGTATAATAACTAGGTTAATACTAGTAGTTAATATATATAGTTTTTTTATCTTTTTCTTATCTTTAAATATATATTACTTACCTTATTTATCCTATAGCTTATCTTTATTTACTCTTACTTATTATCTTAATCTAATTAGATTCTAATTATACTGATCTAATTAGTAATCTAATCTTTAATTACTGATTATTCTGGCCTTACTCTGGTTTAGTAAATTATATGTTTTAATAATAAAATATTGATCTAGATAAATCTAATATACTAATCTAACTTAGTATAAATAAGTAAACCCTTTATTTATAGTATACTATAATAAACTCTATCTTATTTTAAAATAAATAGGGTTTAATTAGGTTAGTTTAAATAAGGATTTTGGTTATTAGTCTTACTTTACTTTACTTAGTATTAATTATATTATTTTCTTAATTTATTTTGTAAATAGATATATATGACTAATAAAATTGCTCTAATCTGAATTAATTAAAACCTTTCTTATTATTTAAAAGTAAGGAGTTGATTTTCTTAAAGATAAGGTACTAAGATATAGTAGGTTAAGGTTATAAAGATTAATATAGCTCTCTTCTAAGATTTATTTATTAAATATCCTATTTAGTAATAACCCTACTTAGATATAGAAGTATTAATAAGAAGAACTGTAAAGGTATTAAAAAAGATTTATTATTAGAGTTACTTATAGAAAGAGGTTGTTAATATATTAGTACCTAAGGTATTTAACTATATCTACTTTAACTAACCTTTACTTTAATCTTAGTATTATTATTATTATTATTATTATTATTATTAACCTCCTGTATAGATTATTAAGCAGATAAAAAATAAGCTATAGGGATATTATATTACTAAATATAATATATAACCCTAGTTTATATCTATTTATAAAGTAGAAAATTGATCTTTATGTTATTATAGGTTATCTATTATATATTTTATGATTTTCCCTAATTTCTATGGTCTAGCCCCTGGTTAAGTATAATAGAAATAGATCTATTGGGAGTATATAGATATTCTTTGATTTTGGTTCTTTTTTCTAGTATATATATAATTTCTTTAATAATATAGGTATTATATTTTGAAGGGTTTATTAAGCTTATAGCAATAGATTTATAATATTACCTTTAGAAGGCCTATAATATACTAGTTATATATATTGTTAGTTATTCTAATAGATATTAAATATATAAACTTTTAAAGAATTGGAGAATACCTGAATACTTATAGTAGATACTTATTTATACTATAGTTGTTAGTAACCTGAAGTTATAATTAGATAGATTAAGCTTCTAAATATTTCTAAGGTTTTAACTAATTAAAAGTAACTAAGTTTCTTATATAGTTATTCTCAAAATTATCTTAACTAGTATACTCTTTAACTATCTTTTTGGCCCTATTACTAAGGTCTTAGTATAAGTTATTTATTAAGCTAATCCTATTAAGTTATGGTCTAGTATGATCTCTCTAAGCTTATATAGTAATATTTTAAATATAGGGTTCCTCTACTTAATACACCCTACCTAATAGATATTTTACGCTAAAAGCTTAGTAGTAGGGTAAGAAAGATAGTAGAAGAGTATACTAGTTAAGGCGATTTTAAGAATGACTATATAGGATGGATCGAGATCAATTTCACCGTTTCCTTACGAAATTAATTCCTAAACTTTCTTTCGAAATACAATTATCTTACTATAGTTAATCCTTCTCTTAATTATTTCTTAGTAGTACTTAAGTATAGTTATAAATAATAGTATAATAAGAGCTTCTATATTGGACTTATTTAGTCTTTAGGGTTCTAGAACGTTCAACATTCAACAGTAATATAGTAATTATTAATATATATAGATTATAGGGAGCTATCTTAAAGCTATAGACCTAAGATAATATGATTATTAGATAATAATTTACTATAGTTCTGCTATATAAGTAACAAAATATGATCACAGTATATAAATAAACTAAGCTAGACTGATATAGTAAGTACATATAGTATAATGACTACAAAAGTGAAGAAAATTTAAGCGGTTTTAGTGATCTAGATGTAATAATAATCTGGTTCGGATGAGACGGTGATGGGTTTGGGGGTATTTAAGAGAGCTGTACGGATAGGTGTGATAGGTCAAAGAAATCCGTATAAACAAGAAAGTAGTCCTACTAATAGAACCCGTATCGATATGTTATTTTCTTGATCTATACTTAGGTTCTAAGAGGCTATATAGTATATATTCTAGACTTACGGGTGTATCGTAGTATAAGCTTATTAAAGGTATAAGCTGGATGTAAGGATAGTACATATAGTAGGTTCGATATAGCAGAAAACAAGTCTACAGGCTTCATCGGCTAGTTAACTGTCGCCTTTAAAATTGTCTCTTATATAGCGCCCTCTATTTTGGGCAGCACACATACTAGTAGTACCCTATTCTTGACGAAGCGCTCTCGGACCATTACTTAGAACCAAAGATCAGAACTGCGCTACTTACTCTAGTGTGACAGATATAATTTCCTAGTCTTCCCAGTCGAGCTTTATATACAGTAGCGACCGGTATCGCCTTCCATATCGGGAATAGAGAGATTATCTTTCAAACCCTAATCATATGCTACGCTAAGCTAGATATGGTTATTCCCGTATTTACGGATCTGTCACAAGGCTGAATGGTATGATACCGAACGAAAGAAAATAATTTAGTGTAAGGTATTTGTCGTGCATACAGTCACGACCGCTTTTGCCTTCCATATCGGATGTCACAGAGGAGGTTTTTCAAACTCTAATCACATGTGGTGCTAAGCCGTATATTATTAATCTCGTATTCAAGGATCCGTCATATGGCTGAATTGTATAATACCAAGCAAAAAAAAAGACGAAGCAATATATCTGCGCATGTATTTTTTACAGCTCTAAGATTACATTACCATACTCACTATCAACTCTTTGCAACTCTCACACAAACAACATCCTCACTCACCGCTAAGAATAAGTCGGCAAGAAGTTATTTTGTCCTACTGAATGTAAGGCGTTATTTTCGGCCTTCTAACCCTTAATGTATTCAACGTCTATTCAAGTCGCCGAGTCCTATCGTGATCTGGACCCAGGGTCTTCTCACATCCTGACAATGCGCGCTGATACATCTCCTCTGCCTCCTTCAGCTTTCCCTGATTAGAGTGGGGAATCCCAAAGTTGTTGACTGTGTCGAGTTTAATCGTCATACCACGTCACAGTACCTCCTCCAGCGCCAACAAGAGGAATAGAGAGATTGAAACAATGCCAGACCGCTATGTAGTTGCCACCCTGCCAGAATTGGATGGCATAGTAGGGCTACTGATACGTTAGTCCCGCAACGATAGAAGTTAAAAGTAAAAGGAAATATCTTACCCCAACAGTTTCGCAGTATATCTCACAGTCGCCTTTTAAGTCATTGACGCTGTTGAAATACACTTCACCACTGTAATATAGAAATATCAGTAGGGGTCTAAATATTCAATGAGGTAGATATTCACTTACGTGAGCGACCCGGCAGGGAATGAAACGCCGCAGAAACTACCCTTGAAGCTCTTTTTAATACCATGAGACCAACCACTCAGGCTGTAGCAGATGAATCCTGCATAGGCACCACTCATACCGGCCTTCTGCTGCCACGCTGCTGCGGTTTTCGGAGCAGACATAACAGCAGCCCCATTTGGCATGTTTTTCTTCAGGAAGTTAAGAGTTGCATCGAGCCATTTCTTGCCTTCTTCATCCTTGACAATGTTGTTAAACGCATCCTCAAATCGCTCAGGGTTATGAGCAATAGAGATCGGCTGGGGCGCCAAAGAGGCAACCTCCTTGTACTTCTGAAAAAGTTGTACTTCGGCCATTGTGAATTAAATGTAGAAAAGTAGAGTAGTATTGAAAACGTTCAGTTGAAGTGTTGCAAAGATCAGACGAGAGGAATTGTCTGTTCCAAGATTGGATACTTGGGAAACTGAAGCAGGTGGTGAGTCTGAGGCAGGGTCATGGCCATACTTATACTACTGATCATATGTATGGAGAGTGGTGACATCACATCGCACCGAAATTGGAATCATCTCAGTCAATTGTAAAAATTCTCTGCATGAAGTAATTCTTTATCTGCACATCGGATATATGTCATGTCTATCTTCTACGATGATATAGCCGCATGCGTGGAAGTAGTGACATCACATCGCACCGAATTTCTCTTGAAAGTAGTCTTTATTCAAGAGACGACAAACCAGTTCGCTTACTGTAATGGACGCCTCTCGCTGGTTATGATCTACACTATTCTACCAATCGACCCTCACCGCAATCTAGGTGAAAAGGTGATTGCATAGAGGAGTCTTGTGTGCACTGGCTGGTTGCTAGGAATTATTGTAGTTGCCCGAGTCTCGGCTAAATACGGTTCTCGAAATTGGCTTAGCTAACACACACTTAATACGTCTTTCCCAGTCCACCGCCAAGACCTTAGCACCGATCATCTGTGGAGATCAAAAGGGCAACCTAAAATACACCTTGCACGGTACAGTAGTAACTTGCCGCTTTACGAAACTTATGCAATGCTAAGATAACTCAATGGAGTTCTATGGACGCCGAGGGTGGGTCCTTGCGCACCATCCGAAGAGGGCCGGGCCCGCCTTTGCACCTACCACCGGGACGATCCGCTAGGCTACTTCGACTTCCATTCTCTGCCTGGATCGTCGGATAACAAAGCCCCTCGTTCCAAGCTCTTGGTGGAGACCAACCACTATGACGCTAGGACTAATGAGCCCGGTCTGATCGTCGACGAGGGATTTATGCCAATGGTTACTTGCGACCCACATGGCGAGATAACAAATGCCACAGCCTGGTTTTCTAGGGTTAGGTCTCTACGGACATCACCGGGAACATCATCATGACCGTCTGGGATGCCACCATCATCGACATAGTCGATTTGTCGTTCTAGATGTTGGGTCCTCAGTTTGTAGTGTTTCTTATCCTTCGGGTCCTCCCGGCACCAGTCAGATTTGAGCGGACACGAGCGGACATCATATTGCATAAGCTCATATACACGACTCCAGGTCGAACTTTGTCCAGTACTTTCTTCCTCAGCCTCAATGTGTGCCTCACGCTCAACATTCTGCTAGTTGCGGGCACACACCCCCTTTTTTCAACTCTTCTTAATGGAAGCATAGAATTACCTCCATCATCCTCCCTATAAGTGAAGGCGATCTCAATCGTGAGCTTCCTTCCAATGCGAATCAGATTACTCCATTTACGAAACTACTTCTCCACCGGCGTCCAATTTAAGGTAGTGGATTTATAAATTTTTTCCAGATCTCTCTGAGACCGTTCGTTCACTTTTACCGTCACGGCTGTGCCTTCAGATCGAATTCGCTAGTGACAATTCTTTTTGGTTTGCAGCATGTTTTCAACATTTGCTTGCAAACTCTTTCCCCAGTAATCACTAGGAGCTACAGCCAAATCTTCATCGGTCACTTTATTTACGGTTTTACGGTTGAGGATAAGTTTCCATGCAATCATGTAGCAGACATATCTCGGCGGTAGCTCATTATATTCGCCACCTTCTTCCCATTCGGCTAATGGGAGAAAGTTGAGTTGATCGAACTGCAGCTGGTCTGTGGCACAATCCGAAGCAGGGCTAGAAGAGTACAAGGTGGTGGGCGTGCGATCGAAGTTCCCAGGAGTGGGGGCACAATCTGAATTTGATAGACATCGTCACTAAAAAAGCTATTGGTCATCGTAAATATCCTCCAACGAAGATGACCTGAGCAGAGTGTAAGGCGTTAGCTATAGATCTCTGGTATCCAATAAGACCTGAAACCGTAGCATAATGATAAGCAGTGGAGGAGATCCCTATACGAAACCTTAACTTTTTGAAACTTGCCTATTAATTTTGTCCCCTAGATGGACCCCGGGAGGCACTGAGGTCTCTGCAGTAAGCAGCCGCAAGATGCAGAAAAGACAAGTTGACACTTTGCCAGTTCAAACGTTGCTTTGTCTAGGATGTTTGTTACGTTTGTATGGAACCTTTCAGGAGTTCTACGCTTCTAATTTTAGCCTCTTGTATCTGTCGTACACGTTTTGAAAAGGAACTGGTATTATTACGGGAAGATACAAAACGTGTTATTTTTCTGTATTATGTGATTAGGGTTTGAAAGATTATCTCTATGTTTCTGACAGGGAAGGCGATATTGGGCGTTACTGTAGATTAGCCCTTAGGTTAAGTGAAAAGGGGTATATCCAATAAACCTACGTTGAAATCAAACAACAGTAAGAAAAATAAAAGTTTGGGCTTAACTAGAGCGGTCGATGGGTCCTATGAGTTCCGGGTACTCTCAATAATAGGCCTACTAAGTCCGTGTGCGGCTTGGTATGTTCAAAAAACAAAAGTATATAATTACTAGCCTTTTTTTTATCTAAGGCGCCTAATATTTTAGTGAAAAGCAAGGTTTAGTGCTTATAACCAGCTTCTTTACTGTTATCTGGTTGATCCTAAAGAATATAATACTTTTTATATAGGAGTATTTATATTAAGAATAGGAATTTTAAGTATATAAATCTCTTAAAGCTTTTTGTCTTTTGTATATTCGTTGAGTCTCAAAAAACTTGGAGACCAAACAGTCGATTTCTAGGTGATAATATTTTTATCTGATGTGTGTGCTAAATAACTATAGAGAGAGATTAATACTTATTAGGCTATTTAAGAGAATTTACGATAATCTTATCTTAAAAGCACCTTAATTAGATAACTGAAAATACCCTTCTCTCAATATCCTAGAGTTTATTTCGAAACGCTGCTACTGCTGAATAGAAATAATGTTCGGTCGCTTCCGTTAACTGTAAATCTTTTAATAGTTTTAGCTTTCCTAGAACCTAAATGTAGGATTAATACTTATTGGGATTTAACTAGATTTCTAAGTTCTTATCCTATCTAGTCTTCTAATAGTATTTAGCTTTAATTAGGAAGTAAGACTAGGCAACCCATCGCTTAGACCTTAGAGTTAAGAAAATTGTAATGGTTACTAAGTTATTAGGCTAGAGACCTATAACTAGGCAAGGATATCGGATAGTAGAGATCAAATAGAATAGTTAATATACAGAACTGATTCTTATAGGACAAGAATCGTAGCTATTATTTATACGTTTTAATATTATTAGAGCTTACTAGGGCTTAGGGTAGTTATATATTAGCAGGTATATTATAGTAGATTCGTCTATAGAGTAGCTATAAATTGTATTTGAATCGTATTTGAAGGGATTTAGGAATCCTATAATAATTTATCCTCCCCTTTTAATAATAGTCGACTTAACTATCTATATAACTTATATTTAATTAGGTAATTCGTATTTAGTAGTATTATATTAAATAAAGATTCTAGGACTAATACTACTTTAGGTATCTTTGTATATAGATATAAATAAAGTAATATAGGTTCTTTAATATCTTTGAGATAAGAGCTTCTCTCTTATCTTTTTAACTTTTATCTTTTCCCTTTTCTTAACTCTTAATTCTTAACTCTCTATCTTCTTACTCTTTGCTTTTATTTTATTTTATTTTAATATATCTAAGGCTGCTACTTTTAGTGTTTTTAGTGATTCTTCTTATTATAGTAGTTATTATATAACTAGAGATAAAGGTTAGATTAGAGATAAAGATAATAGTAATAGAGATAATAGGGTTAATAGAGGTAATAGAAATATTACTAGTACTTCTACTAGCTTATGCCCTCTTTGTAATCAAATTACTTACCCTTCCTTTATATTCTATATTATATATATTACTAAAATAGCTCTTCGCCCTTCTAAGGATACTATTCCTAAGATCTATTATAACTAAGATTATATAAACTTAATTACTTATATTTTATATAAAGAGTATAGTAAAAATTACTTTTAGATAAGATTCTTTTCTAAGTTATATTTAATTTAGTATTAATTTATTTTAAATATCTTATAGGATTTATAATAATTTATATTAGCTTTAATTAATCTTTAACTAGATATATAAAGTTTAAAATAGTAGTACTACTATAGTAGTTATTAATAGTACTATACTTATCTAGAATAAAGAAAGTAAGATTATAGCTATAGAGGGATCTACTTATCTTCTAGTATCTTTTTAAAAGATGATCTCTATTTATCTTTCTAATTATAAGCTCTATTTTAATTTATAGAATATAGATTAAGTTATAGAGATATATACTATATTTATTATTAAACAATAGAAAGAGTTAAATATTAAGACTAGTTTATCTTCTACTTAGTCTTCTTACTATCTTAATAATCTTTTATATCTATAGATTAGTAATACTAGTTTTACTCTCTAGTAGAGTAGTATTTAATCCTTCTTTATAGAGATTATAGTAGGATATTAATATAATATAACTTTAATTAAGGCTACTTTAATTCTAGCTATAATAGTAATAGTTACTAATATTAAGATACTTATAGCTTAATATAGAATTCTATAGTAATTTATTATTTTTACCTTATTTATCCTCTCTTTTTTTAACTAAGCGGCCTTATCTAATATAGCTTTTCTTTATCTAGTATTGATTTAAAGGTAATTCAAAAGGGTTTTAAGGGGTTTTCAATATTATTAGAATACTATTTTATAAGCTTAGTTTTTCTTAAATAAAGCTATTATATCTCTTATATTTTCTAAATATTCTACTAGTTCCTATTAATTATATTCTAAGGACTATCCTATCTATTTTATATAGTAATATAGTACTCTATTAAAAACTCTTTTATCTTAAATCTCTTTAACTTCCTATTCTTCTTTATCTTTAAGTTCTAGTATTAGTATTTATAAGTTATTATTATTTTAGCTATTCTATAGTTTAAGAAGAGAGATAGAGAAGATATTATATAATCTTAAGTATTTTTCTAGTAATACAATATAATAGGCCTAGGTACTAATTTTTGTAAGGATATAGAAGGGTCTGATTTAATAGAGAGATAGCTTCTTTTCTTTAGCTTTAAAGTAGAGATTCTTTATTAAAAGGAATATAAAGGTTCCTACTTTAAAGTCCTTTAGCTTATGATTTTTATTATAGGATCTCTATTATATTTCCTATATAATTTAAAGCTTATTTATAGTCTTTTTATAGATATTCTAGAGGTAATTTACTTATTCTTTAGTATTAGAAGCCTCTTTCTTAAGTATTTTATTAAGAGTTTAGATTTAGAAATTAGGATTATACCTAAGTAATATATAAAAAAAGATCTTATTAATTAATATATTAATAGTATTATTATATATAAATTATATTATTTTAAGGAGTTAAGCCTAGTTTAACTATTCTTTATTAATAAAATATCTAAGATAATCTTCTAAAACCTAGTTAAGTCTTTTTATTTATCTATTAGTTTAGAAATAGAATATAATAGAGAACTATAGTTTAATCTTAGAATAATAATAGAGTTATAATCAGAATCTATTTATAAAAATAGATATTTAATTAGAGATAATCTTCTTTAGGTTTTTATATTTAAGTTTAATTCAATTAAAAAAAGATTTAGTAAGATTTTTTATAGATATTATTATTAATATAGAGAGGAATTAAAAGAATTTTATAAGTTAATAGATAATTACTAAGATTATATTATATTTCCTTCCTTTAAAGATTATAATTAAAAGTCCTATAATAAAGTCTATACTTAGTTTTATAAATAATCTATAAGATATAAAAAGGGATTAAAGTTCTTTATAAAAATAATATCTAGATATTTTAACTTCTTAATATATTAGATATATTTTAATATATTCTTATATATTCTTTAGTAAATATTTCTAATAGAATTTTCTTTTTAGAAGTTTTTCTATATATATTCTTCTAAAATATTCTATAAGTTATTTATTATAGTAAAACTTAATTAGTTTTTATCTTAGATTCTTAGTAATAGAGATATAAAGATATTCTTTATAATATAAAAGTTTCTTAGAGTTAATACTCTAATACTTTTCTTATAGAATATCTTTCTAAGTTATATTAATTCTTTTCTAGACTATTTTATCCTTATCTTAGAGTT